AGCCCACCCCCGCCTGCTCTTCCAGGGCAGCGTCCCTGTGGCTGCCACTGGCCTAAGGGCCCCAGAAGTCCCTTCATTCTTCCCCAACTGGTGAAGCTTTACACTGAAAAGCTCTTTCTGTTGGTAATCGCACCATTTTGTCCCTTGTTCTATCTTGTTCTTCTCGAGGGATGATCCCCTCCCCTGCACTAGCAACACCAGCTTTGTATTGCTCTGATTTCCTAAGCACAAACCCTGGTTACTGCACGGGAAGATCAGATTCAAGGCAACCCATGGAACAAACCCAGCCTCCCCTCCAACAACCCACTAACATGGCATTTGAGGTAAAAAAATAATAATAATAAAAAAATAAAGGCCACCCCAGTCCACTCCACAATCCCCTTTGAATTCCTGCAGGAATCCCCCTCATTTCCACATTCAGTAGTGTGTTTTGAATTAAGGCTTCAGCTAATTAAATCTACTATATTGCCCCTGTTAAGCAAATTAGTTTTCTTATAAAGAGAGCAATTTATCTAACAGAATGTACTTCTGATAAAACCCTGGTGTAATTTTACCACACTTTCCAGTAACCTCTTTGTTCTTCTTTTTTTTTCCCCCTCAGATTTTCAGCTACAACTTTCCCTGTTGTTGGTATCAAACCTGCAGGTCTGCCCTGCTTCTATCCATTTTCTCTCTTTTTGAGTATAGGGACCACACTTGCCATTTTTCTGCCCAAATCCCTAAAGGTTTAGACACCAGCTAAAAATCCTTAGACTACACTTGTAATTCCATATTTAGTTCTTTCAATATCTTAAGATGGAGATGATGTCCTCCAACCTCTGATTTTCTCAAATAATTAGTTCTATAATGAGGGGACAGCTGTCTTACCTTCCTTTCTGCTCACTCACCATCCCTACAGTCACTGGTCTCTTCTTCAGGCTACTAAACTCTTTCAGTACAAAAACTGAACTTTTTGGGAGTTGTTTTCATTTCCTGTGTGTGGTCCAGTTTAACCAAGCTTTTGGCTAGTCCTTGTTGTAGCAAAAGTGCTTTGCAGATACTGTAACATATGTTGACCTGAGTGGCACATAACCCTATATATATACTGTCTGTCTCTATAGATAAATAGTCTAGAGATAGATATATCTGCATATAGATAGAGAGAGACTTTTCATCAAATATATATATTCAAATTTGAATATAATATATAGTGTATCAAATTCTTAAATATAACATTATAAATAACTACATAATTATTATATATATTTAATCAAATGTATCTATTTGATGAAAAGTCTGGATCATTCAGGGAAGGGTTTCAGGACACGCAGTTGGGTGCTCTGAGGATCTGGAAGAGGAAGATGTGAACACCCACTTGCTTTTTCCTCCTTCCCCACTCTGCACAGAGCTGAGAAGCCAGTATTTTCTCTAGCGATACATTTTACAAACAGTAAGATTTAAAAATCATTGTTGTGAGCTAAATCACTACCTGAAGCAGCTCAACAGAATCTCCTCTTCTAAAATCTCAAAACAGCGAAGCATCCAGAGGGGAGGCCCAGCACATCCATGACACATTTTCCATGT